TCAAGAGTCATCTTGCTCTTTTTGACTTGTTCTGATAGCGCCTTGAAAAGATTATAAAAAAGATGACAGACTTTGCTCTATCCAATAAAGAACCAAGAAAGAAGGAAGTGTCTATAAGCATCTCTTTATTTACATCATTTTTTAGCCCCATTGACAAATTCTGGTCAAAAGTAGGTGTTAAAAAATAGCCATCATAATGATTGGCATACAGATCGTATTGGTGAAAGTAAAGAGTATCTGACGTCATTGGCTTTTCCTAGCAAAGCTTATTTGCTAAGGCAACGTAATGATCCAATTGATGTTATTACTGTGTGGTTATTACCATTTTATAATACAAAACCCACATTGGTCAAAATTGAAATACCAGTGCTCTACTTTATGATACTCGAGTGTCAATAATTAAAAAGTAAAAAAAAAAAATATCATTATGATAATAAATATAAACCAAGACTTTATTTCATATTTACATTAAATAGTTTACATAGATTTTGATACATCTTTTCTGCTTTTTTTTTTTTTTGGTATTTATTTCTGCGCAAGAAAGTCTTAAGGCTGATAACCATGCTTTTGCACTTTATGTCGAACCATGGCATCTTTCCGGCTAAAAGTCGAAGTACATTCATTACAGCTATAGGCACGTTCGCCATTATGCACTGTGGCTACATGTCTTGATAAATCGTGCTTACGATCAAATGTTTTGTTGCACAGATGGCACGAAAAGTCTTTTCGTCTATTCTTATCATGTGTCTTGATATGTGTGCCGAGATTATAGCGTCTGTTGAACGTCGCATGACAGATAGGACACTCGTGTTTACGGTCGCAGCTTTTGTCCACTTTGATGCGTTTGTTCGCTTTTTTCATATCTCTGTCTTCAGATTTGCGTTTCTTTGTTGGCATAGGCATAGGGATGGAAGGAATGGAGTTGTCTTCATGATGAAGGTCATCAGTGATATTAAATATTGAGTCATCAAAATCAAAGAGGTCGTCGCTCAATTTGAATAAATCTTGATGTAATGCGTCTTGTTCGTTTAGTGTGTTTGAAGTGGATGATTCAGAAGGAAGAGGAGGGAAGAGAAAGTCAGAGGAGCTTTCAATGTTGTTCATTGTGTTATTTAAAAGTAATGAGGGCTTATCATTTAGAGAGTCAAATGATTCGGTGTTATTTACGGAAGGTGTTTTGGATGCGGATGAACATGGATCATTATTATTCCAAGAGAGGTCGTTTTTGAGATATTTGGCAACTTGAATGTCTTGAGAGTCTACACCAGCAAAAGGATTATTGAAGACGTTGTTGGAGGATTCGATGTAGGGTGAGTAATATGGGGAGTTTTGGAACTGGTTTAGACTTGGAGTAAAAAGAGTTGCAGGTGTAAAGGGAGTATTTAAATTAGAATCCAAATAGGGTGTGTTCATCATGGGAGATTCTTCTACGCCAGCGACTGCAGCAGCGGCAGGGGTAATGTCACCAATGAATGCTGATAATGGAGTTTGCTCAATCTTTGAGCTATTGGGTTGTTCACCTAAAGCTAAAGCAGAGGCTATAGCGGCAAGATTAGATGAAACGATCAGTTTACAAGCTTCTACAAATTCAGAAACTTGATTATACTCACTGTCAATGTTTTCCCAGACTTCAGTAAAATCAAAATCACCATTTTTGGTATCTTCCAATTTGTTTTCAAATAAGAGTTGATGGATATCGTTCATGCTAATATGCTGAGAAGACATTGTATTCGAGATTGGATGCAAAGATGAGCGGGATGTAATATATCTTGTAATGATAAAATGAATTAACTACAGAAGTGGGGTATAAGGGTGTATTATCCTTTTGGAGAAACACACAAGGCGAAAAAATAAGGGAAAGAAAGAAGAGAAGAAGAAAAAAAGGAAAAGTGAGCGGTAAAACCACATCCCAATTATATACAAACTTGAAAAAAGGTTCCGCAGCACTTTAAAAACCTTTTTGTGAAACCAGTGGTAAATGAGTCACAAATGGGCACCTTACAGCGAAATGAAGTCCAACTTTTATTCCCTATGTATAGGGTGGGTCAGCTCAATTGAACACAGTTACTATGGTAACTGGCTCTAGGTTGTCAATTTCAATTGTCTTTGTCCTACAGACAGTCAGTTCATTTGACGGAATTTCTCGCAGCTTACTCTCCTTTTTTGTCATCGATTTCCAAAAATAGATCTGTGTTTTTTTTTTTTTTAATAAACAACAGCAAATGGCTATGTTACAGAGGGGACGATAAGTGATATGGGCCATACGAGCTTTATTCTCCACAAATACAAAAAGATTTTTATAAATATAGCATCTTTCTTCAAACATACATATAATGTGCTTGGAGTAATGGTGATTAGATTAGGGAAAGGTTATTTAGACAATACTTGGTTCATTCAGTATTGAGTATATTTTTTGGTTTTAATTGTGTATCCCAGGTTTAATTACAGACTACATTTTCCTTTTAGGTAAAGACATGTAAATGAACTAAATTACCAACTCAACAACTAATTGATCTGCTTTACTACAATTATATGACCAAATAAAGAAATGGATCTGATTGACTTAATATGCTTGGCATATTGATAATGAATTTATGCTATCATATAGAGTATCCAAAATTACTGATGCAATCAGCAGCTGTGTTTCTCACAAATACTTTCATTAAAGTCAATGATCAAGTGTCCGAATATGATAAGATATTGTTTATAAATAGCTGCTAATGAAGCGTCATTTCAATTTCCCCAGATCGAACTCTAGGCAAATATGTTCTGCCCTTGATTACTAAGAGAACTATGTTTATCCTTCAACTGTTTCGAGACAAATGAACATAGGTTTAAAAGGAGGGCCCAGAGAATTTAGTCTTATGGCAAAAGTACTTCTACTACATGTAAACAAAAGACAACATCAAATTCTTCGGTTCTACTAAAGACACATAGATTTTACGAATAGCATTGTTATAAAAATGGAAACACGTTCAATGAACCATGATGTAGTCATAGACCACACGTCTTGGCTAAATGTGGCACTCTTTCCCTTTTTTTTTTTTGTAGTTACACATTAAACTGAATGAATCGTCATAACAATACACAGCCACATATTTACATGGTGCCACTCCCATTGCTGAGCTGCGTCTTTGTGTGAGATACATTGCTGAAATTAAAATATCGACTTGTAACCAGGAAATACGTTAAAAGGACAAAGAAACGACGTTGATCTCATCACAGAGTATCTGAAAGTCAGCTCAGGGGGAACGTTGCAACACAGTCAGAAATGACATCCCAGCAACTCATATACATCTCCAGTCCCGTTTCAGTGCCTCTCAATACCAAGAAATTTAAGCGCCAAGGATTCTTTTGATGGTAATTTGCTGAAACAACTGCTTGAAAATGAAAGCAGCACATCAGCAAGTGCGATAATATTTTATGAAAAGAAGCGATTATGTAAAAGTAAAATAACAAGAAAACATTTTAAGTGAAACTTCGCACCAGAATTTAAAAGAAAAGCAACACACTGGTTGCACAAGTGAAGCAAGATTTGTTGAAAAGGATGTATCTGGAGTCGACTGGAATTGACGAAGGAACGAGAAGCCATTGAAATTGAAATACTTAGAGTTAGGCACTCTCCCGTGTTATTGGTTTCTTAAACATATTTGACAATAAGGGGGGGCTATCGCATAGTTGTTTTCTTAAAACGGTAAAATGATGTCAACATACTTGAGCAACGCGAAAGCCCTTAAGAGCATTTCTGAAGCCATGTCTCTTTTTTCTCTCCTTTACTCAACTCATTTCTTGGTTTAAATGAAAGTATTGACTACTTTTATTGCCATAACAGTAGCATTTACTACAGTTTCTAATGCAATCACCTTCAAGTAAAGTTTTAACTTTTTATTGTTGTCATGGTTACATGCAAGGATACACAAAGTCCCTGAATTTTAATATATTTATATTTTAGAGTTCCTATCAAAAAAATAAAGGAGTCTCCAAATGAACAATACGCGCGATTTATTAGTTCTAACAGTGTCGCGCTTCAAAAGTATGTTGAGACAGAACGATACCAGGATACTAAAAGTAAAATCTTTGACCCTGCGGCTGATGGCACGGTTGAACACGGTGTACCTCTTTCAAATTATTTAAACGCTCAAGTACATACACCCACTTCCCTTCTTTGAATGTATCTCTGATCTCTTTTGTAGTATTATGGTGAGATCGGCATCGGTACTCCTGCTCAAACCTTTACAGTCATATTCGATACGGGATCTTCTAATCTCTGGGTACCATCCACTCACTGCTTAGCTTTGGCTTGTCTCATGCACCGTCGCTATTCCTCATCAAAATCATCTTCATACCAGAAAAATGGCACAGAATTTGCAATCAGATATGGTACTGGATCATTAGAAGGCTTCACCAGTCAGGTAAAGTTCAACTTCATTGTGTGTACTGTGTCTAACACGCACAGTTAGGATATCCTTCATGTTGGAGAAATCGATATCGAAGATCAAGGATTTGCAGAATCTACAAATGAGCCAGGGCTGACCTTTGCCCTAGCGCATTTTGACGGCATCTTTGGACTTGGTTACGACACCATCTCTGTGAAGAAAACAATTCCACCTTTTTACAACATGGTTAAACGAGGGCTGATCGATGAGCCAGTATTTTCATTTTGGTTGAATGACGTAGAGCAAGGAGGTGAATCAAATGGAGGAGAGCTCGTGTTTGGTGGAATAGACGAAAACCGATATACAGGAGATATCACCTGGTCACCCGTGACAAGAAAGGGTTATTGGGAAATAGAGCTTCAAAACATAAAATTCAACGATCAATACCTCAATACATTTTCCATGGGTGCAGCTATTGATACCGGCACTTCTCTTCTAGTTGCTCCCAGATATGTGGCAGAGACCATTAACTCTCAACTCGGTGGCAAACTCGATGGTTATGGACAATATACTGTCGACTGTTCTACCATTTCCAGTCTTCCAGAGTTCTGCTTTGTGTTTTCAGAAAAGGAATTTTGTTTGCAAGGCACAGACTATATCCTACAGCTTGACGAGGAATGCATCTCTGGCTTTGTGGGTATGGACATTCCTCCACCTGCAGGGCCCCTTTGGATAGGTAAAGTAGTTATTTATGTTGCTTGAACAAAAGTGTACTAAGACTACTCTTAGTGGGTGACGTATTCCTTCGCAAGTTTTATAGTATTTATGATTTAGGAAACCACAGAGTCGGACTGGCACAAGCAAAGTAATATTTTAATTTATTTCAGGTAGACTAATAAAGCTTCCATTATCATCTCTGAATAGTCATTTTTTATTTGAGGGGAACTTTTTTGTTTGCAATAGTGCACGTGCATACGCGTGTGTAAGTGAAAACATTTGAGATAAAAGTTGAGCTACGTACATCTTCAGGAAAAAAAAGACAATGAACTAGAAATCATTGTACCTTTTCCTTTTTATTATCATTATATGAAGAACAAATCTCAAGCCTAAAAAATTTCGTGGGAACAGTAAGAAGAAAAGCTACATCTGCCGTCACGTACCATCAGGATGATGCACAGTAAGTCCAACGCCAAAGGAGGGAGGGGGGAAACAGCTCAAAGGGCAGCTTTGCTTTTCTATGCGACTTTCCTTGATTTAATTTAATACACATTTTTTTTTTTGACGAAGATCATGATACTATGGGCCGGGAAGAG